TTCCAGTCTCAAACATGTTCCAACTTAGACAGTAAATTACATGGGAGCTCTGCTACTAAGTGTCAGATGTTTGCTGAGCCCAGAAACTACAGAAATGAGTGTGAGCCCTTCCATTCAGACCCTTCATGGGGTACAGGAGGGCCTTCCTACAGACTTTGCACATAGTCTTAGTACAGTATGGTAAGTATGGATACATAACAGAATAATGTACAGTATACTTAGGGCAAGAGTTCTTAATCTGTGGGTCATGGGTGGACCTCAGGAGGTTTTGAATTCCCTAAAATAGAAGATGTATTGTGTGTGTCCAGATTTTTCTAGGGAGGGAAGCTGACCCTTCATCTTATTAATGTAATCCTTGCTCCCAAAGGCTAAGCACCGCTGACAGAGAGAGCACCGAGCCTTGCCTGATAGTAGCAGGTGCACTCAGGACCTTTGGCCACTCCTGTCCCGTGCTAAGAACTACCTTTTGAGAGTTGGGAAGTTATCTTTGCATCTTTAGAATGTTGAAGTAATTCCCATAGTTCAAACTGTGGAGGACATTCCTATGTAGTTTAAGTATCTAAGATTCAAACTTCAGCCAAGTTTAAAATCATAAAACGGTGTCATAGATTGGGTCTCCATGTGGTCATCACTGTTTTTTAACTAGTAGTCTGTATCAATATGTTAACTTTTACTTTTATATGAAAAGGTGTGTTTTGGCTCAAGAAGGGCTAAGAGGAGTATAGTTGGATCAGCACAAAACTTTGGAAGAAAGAAAAGAAAAGCAGGCACGATCTACTGGTGCAGAAGTCCCCAGCTAATGCGTGAGCTGTATTCCAAAAAAGAATTTATAAAATCAGTTTGGAACTCAGGTCCCATTTTCCTATAGGAACAATGGAAAAAAATGGGGGTTAGTTCCCAGGCAGGGAGCAGAAACTCATTTCCTGCAGAGTCTAGGGCTCTGGGACTGAGTACTTGCTTGAGGTGCAGCTCTAAGTTGCAGTCTTGAGATAGCCATTCAGTGGCTAGGTAGCCTTGGTTTCCTTATCTATGAAGGGGACCATCACTTATTTGGAAGGTTGATGTGAGGAAATTGATCAAGCGCCTGACACAGAGTAGTGGGGTCTCAGTGGACAGTGGTAGCTGTTGAATTTTTGCAGAAGTTTTTTAAATAATAGAGTCTTGCATTAAGTAGATTCTCAAATATTTGCTGCATGAAATAGCGAATGAATTACTCCTGAGTGTAAGAGACCTGAACTGAACCTGACAGGGGTGAAAGGAGTGTGGCTATTGGAAGTTGAGGATTGCTTTTACTCATCTTCACATTAATTCAGTTTAAATTAAAACATGCTGGGCAGCCCTGGCTGGGTGGCTCAGTTGGAGTGTTGTCCCGTATACAAAAAGTTTGGGAGTTCAATTCCTGGTCAGATTGCATACAGGAGGCAACTGATAGATGTTTCTCACATGAATGTTTCTTTTTCTCCCTTCCTCTCTACAAAATAATCAATAAAAACATATCCTCAGGTAAGGATTAAGAAGAAAAAACGGTGCCAGGCACATCCTCAGACTCATGTCATCTAATTGTTGCAATGGTCTTCTACAGTAGATACTGTTATCCCCATATTTGAGATGAAGAAACTGGGACCTGTCGAGTTTACATAATTTCCCCCAAGATCCTTAAAACTAGGAAACAATATAGCTGGGGGTTCAAGTTCTACCTCAGAAGTGCACACTGTTTGCACTACCCCATGTACCCCTGCAAAGATACAGTGTACCAAGAGATAAAGTCCCATGTTACTTGCTCACTTCTTGGAGTATTTGAAGTTTGGCCCTCTTTTTTCATTTCTTACTCTAATGCAAAAAGCAATTTGGATTGGATCTAATCAAACAATGAAACCAGAACAAACCAATTTGCACCTGGGCCCAGGAAGAGGGCTGTTATCAGGTTATGAGAGTTTGTGGCTGTGAACAGATAGTATGTTGCAAGGCCAATCACAGGCTTGGGGCGGGAGGAGGTTCTGCAGAGTATTAGTTGTGTGGTTTTTAAAAAAAAACTAGTTTGAAAGGACATTCAATTTTGGTTGGTTATGAGGTAGCTTTGTGTCAAGGTCGCCATTAGACTGATATAAAGTATGAAAATCAGGGTTTGGTTTCAAGTAGTGATGTATAGGTTCAGTAATCAGTTTCATGTGACTGCCTTCCTACAAGGTACCAGGTGCTAGCTTAAGCAGCTGGGGAGATGAAAGTCCCTGCCCTTATGTGAAGATTTCTTATATACAGTGTAACAAAAAGTATACAGAGATAGGCATAGGGTATCATGCACAAAGGAAAATCTTATGTGTTTTATTAATATCATTAACCAAGGGACCAGCTGCCTGCCACACACACACACCGCCCCTCCTCCCCCGCCCCCAGTCTAGAACAGTTAAGAGTATAGGGGGGCTTTAACAGCCAGCCCTCTCCTTGGTAGCTTTCTCGTCTTTGCTGATGCCCTGGACTATGGATGTGTGCTATGTGCAGTGACAGGCTCTGTCTGCACAAGGAGGCCGGGAAGTCACAGGAGTAGTCTTGTATTTTCATTTTCAGCAGAATATATCATACAAGGACTAACTTTTTAATAATTTTTTCCAAAGTTCTACCTCTGGGTAGTGTAGTTTGAAGACTAAAAATTGAATCATTTTCAAAACTACATATTTAAATGACTGAATGAATTGATTGGTTCATAAATTTCTATTACTGCTAATCACTTAGTTTATTTATAAAGTGATGAATTATAAGTGATTTGTCCTGATGTGTGCTAAATTACAATAATTTACGTTAACAGCCCAAAAGGGGAACAAGAGGGGAGCATCTGTAATACTCTCGACAATAAAGAATTTCTTAAATCAATAGGAAAAGATTTCCCTGATAAATGCAAAAAAGAAAAATAGCCCCCAGAAAAACAACTGTAGGTTTAGTTATGTAATTACATACAATAATTATATATTTAAGGTTTGCAAATATATTTGTGTGTATGTTGCCAGATTTTGCTGAGATGTCAAGCTGCATGGCTGTGACATACATTTTTTTATTGATTTCAGAGATGAAGGAGAGAGAGAGAGAAACATCAGTGATGCGAGAGAATCATTGATTTGCTGCCTCCTGCATGCTCCACACTGGAAATTGAGCCTGCAACCCAGGCATGTTCCCTGTCTGGGAATCAAACCATGATCTCCTGGTTCATAGGTTGACACTCAACCACTGAGCCACGCTGGCTGGGCCATACATTATTTTAAATTAAAGAATTTGAAGAATCAAGTGACCATTTAACCTTTCGCTATTACTAATATTTCAAACTAACTCAGTGGTGGTGACTAGCTATACCTTTCATTGGTGAATGGTGTTTGCTTATAGACTGTTTGGTGTTGGTTTCATGCACTCACACTCTTACTCCACTTTGTACAATCTGTGTTTAAAACAAATGGAATAGCCGGCGGTATGGCTCAGCAGTTGAACATCAACCACAGGAACTAAGAAGTTGCTGGTTTGATTCCCAGTCAGGGCATTTGCCCAGGTTGTGGGCTTGATCCCCAGTAGGGATGTGTGCAGGAGGCAGCTGATCGATGACGTTCTTCTCTCATCAATGTTTCTCTCTATCCCTCTTCCTCTCAATAAAAATATGTTTTAACAAAAATAGAACAATGTACTGTCTTTGCACACTGAAGTGGGAAAACCAGAAAATATTCACTTTATAATTAAATCTAGATTAGTAAAATAGAAATGAAATCTAAAAATGACATGTTAGTCTTTTGACAGAAACTATAGTTGACCCTTGAACAACTCTGGGGTCAGAGGTGCTGACCTCCTAAGCAGTCTAAAAGCCAGGGATAACTACAGTCAGCCCTTTATATGCTCATATTCCCAACCACAGAGTTAATCCTTGAACAATGTGGGTTTGAACTCCATGGGCCAGTTGAAAAAACCCACATATAAGTAGACCTCTGCAGTTCAAAACCATGTTATTCAAGAGTCAACGCCGAAACCGGTTTGGCTCAGTGGATAGAGCGTCAGCCTGTGGACTGAAAGGTCCCAGGTTCAATTCCGGTCAAGGGCATGTACCTGGGTTGCGGGCACATCCCCGGTGGGAGATGTGCAGGAGGCAGCTGATAGATGTTTCTCTCTCATCGATGTTTCTAACTCTCTATCTCTCTCCCTTCCTCTCTATAAAAAATCAATAAAATATATATTTTAAAAAAAAAAAAGAGTCAACTGTACTTAAATATATAAAATGTTCTGCCAGAGTTCTTTTCCACAACATATCTGTATTAGAACAGTGGATCTTGACTTTACTGTGAGAATCACAGGGTACATGAATACCTTCCGGGGCCTCCATTGGAGCTCCAACATATAGGTCTGTGGTGAGGCCCAAGATTGTGCCGAGTGTATCTGATGAGGAAATCAAGGCCATATTTAGGGACTTGCATTTAGGAACAGGAGACAGCCTACCACCTGGGGACTCTTATTAAAGATAGGCCGGGTTTCTGTTATAGACCCTTATGTTATAAATTCCAGAAACAATGGTTAGATGCATGCCTTCAGCTTCGCTGCCTTATTCCATAATGCACATTTTCTTGAATTTCATCAGCAGTCTAAGAATCCAAAAGGCTATTCCCTTGCAATGCATATCTTATCACTCATTTTCTATACTTTCTATTAACTGTTTGAGTTGCACTAGTGAGAAGAAGTACATCAGGTACCTTCCTGCCAGATTGCTGCAGATGTGAGGTACTTAGCACACAGCTTAGCAAGCACAGTTCATCCTCGTTAAGATGCTGTGTGTGGTAGAACAGCTAACAGTAGTGGTCTGTGAAGTGGGGACGGGTTTGGAGAAGTTGTGCAGGACCAAGCAAAATGCAGATCCTGGTCCCCCCTGCAGGTCAGGAGTAAGTGTGGGGGCAGAAAACCAAGGCAAGACTCACTTTACATTTTGATAAATGAGATGAATTCATCTTCTCTCTCTCTCTCTCTTTTTTTCCCCCCAGAACTGTGGGTACCCATGGATGTGGCTGAGAGCCCTGAACGGGACCCTCGCTCTCCAGAGGACGAAGAGGAGGAGCAGCAAGGGCTCTCCGACGATGACATTCTGAGAGAAAGTGGGTCTGATCAGGATTTGGACAAAGCTGCAGGGAGGGCTTCTGATTTGGAGGATGAGGAAAATGCTGTCCTAGGACTGAGCCAGGAGGAAGAGGAAAGTCGCTCTGATGAGGAGGATCAGGACCAGGACTCTGAGCCTCAGGAGCTGAACAGGGGCCCTACGAGCCCCCCACATGCAGAGGAAGGGGATGGGGGGGAGGAAGACCGCACAAGTGATCTGAGGGACGAGGCCTCCTCGGTCACCAGGGAACTGGACGAGCATGAGTTAGACTATGATGAGGAGGTCCCTGAAGAGCCAGCCCCCACTGGGCAGGAGGACGGAGCAGAGAAGGCTGGGGCAGAGGAGGATGAGGAAAAGGGAGAAGGAGCTCCCGAGGAGGAGGGAAAGGCCGATGTCCACAGTGTGGAAGAAAAGGAGCCCCCGGAGGCAGCCAAGGAGAAAAAAAAAGAGGATGACGACGGAGAGATTGATGATGGGGAGATCGATGTGAGTACCCCTGGGTTGCAAGTGCAGTAGATAGAGCTCAGAAGGACTTCTCGCCACCAGCCACACCTTGGCCTGGTGCCAGGATGAGAGCTCTTCATAGGATTAACTTAGCCTCATTTCAGAACAAGAAGGTGGGGTGGAGGAGTGCAGGAAAATGAGAGGATTGTCTGGGAGCAGTCGCCATGGTAATTAGGAAGTGCTAAATTCAAAGAGAAGTGGTCTAGATTCAAAAAACTTCTGCCAGTTGGTAGCTGGCAGAATTTCCATGGACCCTCACTCATCTATCTGAAGCTATTGTATTAGAATGCCTGGCCCAAATGTTTTAAGTTTTGGATTTTTTATTATTATTCATTTCAGAGAGGAAGGTAGAGGGAGAGAGAGATAGAAACATCAATGATGAGAGAGAATCATTAATTGGCTGCCTTCTGCACCCTCCCTCCCCCGCCCCACTGGGGATCAAGCCCACAAACCAGGCATGTGCCCTTGACCGGAATTGAGCCCTGGACTCTTCGGTCCATAGGCTGACGCTCTATCCATGGAGCCTAATCAGCCAGGGCAATTTTGGATTTTTTTTTTAACAAGTGAAGAGGAAATTTCTCCTTTTCTTTTTGCTATCTTTAAATCCTATTTGAGTTGACATTCAACCAGAACCATCATGAATCTTTGGTCCTAATCAGGTTGAGACTGATGAAAAGACTCTAGAGGCTTCCTTCAGTTTTGTCTAGACATTTTTTTTTGTCCCACAGCTTGTCCTCTGGTGAGGGTCCCAGCTGGGCCAAATAAAACCCTCAGGATTGGATAAAATGGGGTTCTACACCAGAACACCTCAGGTTTTGATCAGGCTATCACACTTTTTTATAACTTATTTAAATCTAGCCTTCAGGTTCAGGAAAAGGTAAGATTGGTAATATATCTTAAATATGGGTAGTTTGGGGTTTTATCACAGGTAAGCCTTTTGAAAGGCTTGATATTTAAGAAGTTGAGTTTTGGGGCAAAGAGTCTGAAGTTTTTAAAGTTCCCCAGGGAAGGAAATTCTGCTTATCTAAGAGTCATCACAGTGACAGGTGTGTAGAATATCTCTCAGAAATGTTTTGGGTTGGGAGGGAAAAGGTTACTCGTTAAATACTTGACCACAGGTTTACTGTAAGTACCACACTTCTCTAATAGCGTGTGGTGGTGACCATGGAGTGCCTAGTGAATTTGTAGGGTTTTAGACATTGCTTATCTGACTTTAGTTCATAAGAACAGAACTTTACAGGGCATGTGTGGGGTTAAAAGCTTAGAATTTTAGATTTTTTTTTTTATCTCATAACTAAGTGTAGTCTCCTGAGTTAATAATAATCTTTGTTTAATCTTTATTTTATTTTAATCTTTATATTATTTATTAAATAAGTAATCTTTATTTTTTTTCATCTTACCCAAGGACATGTTCACTGATTTTTAGAGAGAGAGGAAGAGAGAGAGAAACATCGATTCAGCTGCCTCCCTCACATGCCCCAACAGGGAATGGAACCCACAACCCAGGTATGTGCGGTTGGCTGGGAATATAACCCACAACTCTTTGGTGTACAGGACAGTGTTCCAATTAACTGAACCAGCTGGCCAGGGCTATTATCTTATTTAAAAGGGTGTTGTTGGAACATTATCATGCAGGTTCCCTTAGGTTTTGCCAGCTATACTTCCCTTCCACTTTGGGAAAGTTCAGTTCTGTCACGGAGTTGGCAAAGGGGAACATGGTGTCATGACACTCAAGTTGATCAATGTGGATGAACTTTTGACCAGTAAATGGTCATTGGTTGAGATTGCTTGTGAATTTGGTGTTTTAGCAACTAGGGAATGTTGGAGAGCTCTAGATTGTGGCCTAAGGGTTCTGGACAGTTCATTTTCCATTAAGAGAGGACCAGTCATGAACTCGCTTTGCTTCAACTGTTGAATAAGTATTTTTTTTAATCTTTATTGTTGAGATTATTATAGATGTCCCTCTTTTTTCCCCCCATTGCCTCCATCCACCCAGTTCCTGCCCCAGGTCTTTGCCACCCTATTGTCTGTGTCCATAAGTAATACATATATGCATATAAGATCTTTGTTTAATCTCTTCCTGCCCACCACCCGCCTCCCTCATCAGCCTGTTCCATTTCCATGCCTCTGATTCTATTTTATGCACCAGTTTATTCTGTTCATTAGATTTCTCATTCATTTATTTTGATTTTTAGATTCAGTTGTTGATAGGTATGTATTAGTTGCCATTTTATTGTTCATATTTTTTTTTCTTCTTCCTCTTCTTAAAGAATATCCTTCAACGTTTTATATAATACTGGTTTGGTGGTGATGAACTCCTTTAGCTTTTTCTTGTCTGAAGCTCTTCATCTGATCTTCCATTCTAAATGATAGCTTTGCTGAGTAGAGTAATCTTGGTTGTATGTCCTTGCTGTACATCACTTTGAATATTTCTTACCACTCCCTTTTGGCCTGCATAGTTTCTGTTGAGAAATCAGCTGACAGTCAGATGGGCATTTCCTTGTCATTTTAATTATGATGTGTCTTGGTGTGGGCCTCTTTGGGTCCCTCTTGTTTGGCACTCCTTGTGCTTCCTGGACTTGTAAGTCTATATCTTTCACCAGGTCGGGGAAATTTTCTGTCATTATTTCTTCAGATAGGTTTTCAGTATCTTGGTTTCTCACTTCTTATACCCCCATAATGTGAATGTTGGTATGTTCGAAGTTGTCCCAGAGACTCTTTACACTATCTTCATATTTTTGGATTTTTTTTCTTTTTGCTTTTCTTGTTGGGTATTTTTTGCTTACTCATATTTCAAATCATTGATTTGATTTTCAGAATCCTCTAGTCTACTGTTGAATCCCTCTAAATTATTCTTTATTTCAGCCAGTGTATGTTTAATTTCTTAATTTCTTTTCCATTTTTTTGGAGGTTTCTAGAAGATTCTTGAGTAACCTTATAACTGTGGTTTTGAACTCTATATCCAGTAATTTGTTTTCTTCTATTTCTTGCACTTGTGACATGTTTATTTGTCTCCACATTTTGGCTGCTTCCCTGTGTTTGTTTCTGTGCATTGGGTGAAGCTGCTATGTCTCCTTCAGTTGGTAGAATGGTCTTGTGTAGTAGGTGTTCTATAGGGTCCAGTGGCTCAGCCTCCTCAGTCATCTGATCTAGGCACTCTAGATGTGCCCCTTTGTGGGCTGTGTGCACGGTCTTATTGTAGCTGAGCTTTGATTGCTGTTCGTGTCACTGGGAGGAATTGACCTCCAGGCCATTTGGCTGTGAGGACCAGCTGCGACTACAGTGGGAGAGCTATTGTGCAGGAGACACCTCTGTGGAGCAGGACTTGCTTCAGTGGGGCTTTGGTGCTCACTGAGTCTGCCCCTTGACTGTGTTGCTTAGAGAGTTGTAATCTGGTACAGTATGGTACTAACCGCTAGGTACACGGGCTCTTAGGTTTCCAGGACGTACGTACAAAGTCAGCTTCCTGACCCAGCTGCAGTGAGAGATTTTAGCCTGGGTGACTAAAATCCATTCATATGCAAAGGCTGCTGCACACGGCTTGGGTGGGGTAGTAAATTGGATGAGGCAGGGTCTTAGGGAATCACCAGGGCGGAGCAAACAGAAATGGCTGCCAGTCAACTTTGTGACTGGGGAAGTCCCAGCATAGGAACAATGATCCCTGTGAACTCCTCTGTCTAGGACAGTGATAGCGAAGTCATAGGTTCGCCATCACTGGTCTAGGAGAAGGCCGACCCGGAGTTCCTGCCCCGATGCTAGATAATCCGGTCCTCCTCATATGTGTCTGTGTTCCCCAGAGCCTCGCCCTGGTGCTGGAGCTCAGAGGAAGCAGGACCTTGTAAGTTCAGTTCATGGTCCCAACCTTCTTGAGAGGAACAACTGGGTCTCCAGCAGCCTTTGTGTCACTGAGCCCCAATCCACACTGGTTTTTACAGCCCAGAGTTCTTACTGCCCTGAGCTGGTGGTCTGGTGTGGGGCTGGGACCCCTTGCTCCTCTGGGCGACCTCCCTCCACAGAGAAGATCTCCCTCCCAGTTAAAAAAGCTACACATGTGGGTGTCAGACCAGCCCATTCCACGCCTTCTACCAGTCTCCACGTGTTTCCTTCTTTACTTCTCTAGTTGTAGGACTTCCATTCAGCCAGCTTTCCAGCAGTTCTGGATGATGATTGTTCTGTATTTTAGTTGTAATTTTGATGTGGTTGTGGGAGGCAGCTAGTACAGGTGTTTACCTACACCACCATCTTGTCCTTCTGAGTAAGTTTTAAGAGGAAATTTATCTACTCTTCTGTCTTTCCATGGCCGTATGGGGTCAAGTGTCTCCCTGCTGGTCCCAGGGGACTTTGGCATCATCCCACCAATGGTTTTTCCACTGCACTTAGATGCGGTGGTGTGGGACATTGAGATGAATTGAGTTGTCCCTGAAAAACACCCATCCTCTGGAGATTTGTTTGTTTCCCCTAGAAACAGCATGTGAAATAAAAATTCAGTTTGGTTTCTTACCCACTCAGATCCCATGGTTGATGGGTTGGTTTGGCTTGTTTTGCCCTGCATGATACCCTCTCGTAAGGGGCCCTACACGTGGAAATAGTCTGCTGCTGAGGAGACCTTGAGAACATAGTTTCTTTCTGTCACTGGAGGCAGTTTCCTTTCCACACCCCAGACTGTGCCTCCTACTCAAGTCACCCCTGCAGGTCTGTTGTCTTGGACACAGCACTAGTAGGCCCAACTGTGTGCCAGCCTTGTCCCAATGCACTGGGGATAATGACAGGTTAGAGCACAGTCTCCCCCCAACTCAGGGACAGGCAGACTTCACCATGGGGAGGCACTGGTGACTTGGGCCCTCACAGCAGCAAACCTGGCCTGCAGTTGCCCAGCTTTTTTCCAGGATCTTCCCTATTCTTTAAGTGTTGGTGTAAATGTCACCTCCTTACCTAGGCTCTGCCTCCTGCCCCTGCCTCTCTGTTGCACCTGGCACCTTTAT